ATTGATTACGCTGATCCCGAGCTCCCCATCCAACCTGGTTAGGGTTTTCATACTCTCATACCAAGTCCTGGCTTGACCACCCTTGATCTTTTTCCAACCTGCCTCGGCAAACATCGCTCGCCATGGTAACCTATCTGGTGACATGCGTAACACATGCCCCAACCAACGTAATCTGCGGAGGTCGGCCACTTGCTCCAGCGGACGACCACCATTAACTAGAACCTTAGGCCTAAACTCAGCATTGCTCGTCCGGTTACCCCACCAGACTCGTATAATGTGACGTAGACAGCGATGCTCAAAATCCGACAATCTATTTTATCCTGTTCTCGTAATGGTCAAGTCTCTGCATGTTAGAGCAGGAGTGACCGAACTGCTGCAGCATACGCTCCATCATTCACAGAAAGCCGGATGTCGAGACGGCGCCACAGGTGTCTCAAGTTGACAAATACCAGCCGAGCCTTCTGTGTGCGTGCCTACGCTTCATCTATGACACGTTCGCCAGGTAAGATATAGCCGCCCAAATAACAAAACTTATCCACTTGCTCCATTACTTCCAAGTCAAGGTGCTGGGTGCTGGACCAACCAAGTCCTGTAGTAACATTTTACACTTTGAAGGTGCAAAACGCATACCAAAATCGCTATGCTGGCACTCAAGCTATCCAGAGGGGCTTGCAACTTACCAGCATTTTCGCTTAGCAGCACAATGTCGACTGCATACTTTAGATCAGACAGTCTGCCACCTGGAAGTAAATCGATGAAGCTATTCTCGCACGGGAATAAGGCTGTTTCTATTGGCAAATCCATAACAAAGTTAAATAGAAAAGGAGAGATAGGGCAACCCTGACGAACACCACTTTCCGTGGTGAACTCGGTCGAAAAAGTGCCGTAAGCCAGGACTCGACTTCGGCTATTGGTATAAAGGTACCGTAATGCTGATATAAACTTCTCGGACACACCCTTCAGGAAAAGGCAGTGCTAGAGTTCAGAGCGGTCGAATGAGTCGAAAGCCGCCTCTAGACCGAGGAAGACAGAAACAGTGTTTGTGAGAAAGGAATGTTGGTGTTCTAGACTTCGGAGAAGAGCGAAAATATGGTTTATACAGCCTCGACCAGATCGAAAACCCGCTTGATTCCCACGTGTGCACCCTTCACCTGCGGCAGTGGTTTAGTCGCTGTCAGCGGCGTTATTTAGACCCTATGGTCCGAGGCTCGAGTCCTGTCACCGCCACCCAAATTTGGTGGTAGGCAGCTTTGCTGTCGTCCGGTCCAATGCATTTAACCTATCGAGGCCTCATGTAGTTCGCCACTGAGTCGCGAGAATTAGGTTACCGGTTTCCATCACCGAACAGCAGTTTCCCGTCTGCTGTTCATCACACGAAAGTGTGTAATAAATTATTTTTAACATTTGTCGGCGTACGATGCTAGAGAGAAGTTTAAAAAACATTTTCATCAAGGTAATTCCGCTGTTGTTTTCACCAGAGAATCTATCACCTTTCACCTTAACCGGTCATATAACCTACTCACACTACTCACTTTAGCCTATTCGCCTCCCATACTGACTGTGAGCTTCGTAAACTCTAGGACCAAGGCTGACCCTACATTCTTAAAAGTCTATGGGGGCAGTCCGTCCGGGCCAGAGGCGTATTACCTTTGGAGAAAACTATATCCCGGGTAACCCTCATTTCAGAGATCAGTTCTTATAACCGTTAACTATGCACTGTCGTGTGCCGGCTTTGATTGCTGTCTTTCGGTTGCCGATTTGGATAAAACAGCAGAATGAAGATTGGAATGTTGAGAGCAAATTCAAGCGAAAGATAGCAAATTTATATAGACTGAAGTTACCAGACTAATGGGTAGATGCATGAATGCCACTGTTTGTCATACCGCTCAGTGTCTCTAACCGTCGGTGACCATCATCTCCGGGTCCCCAGCCACAGTGCCTAACGGGACATATGTAACCCAGATTCCTGGTTAGGGTTTTCATACTCTCATACCAAGTCCTGGCTTGACCACCCTTGATCTTTTTCCAACCTGCCTCGGCAAACGTCGCTCGTCGTGGCAACCTATCTGGCGACATGCGTAGCACATGTCTCAACCAGCATAACCTATGAAGGTCGACTACTTGCTCTAATGAACGACCGCCAATACCTAAAAAACTACGGGTAACCTCAGCATTGCTCGTCCGGTTACCCACCAGATTCATGCAATGCGACGTAGACGGCGGTGTTCGAACACCGACAATCTATCTTTATCCTGTTCCCGTAATGACCAAGTCTCTGCACTGTAAGGCATTTCATTTCAGATAGAGGACTGATATCAACTGGGAGTATTTGCCCAGTCGAGACGGGGGTTGACAAGCCTAATTTCAATGAGGAGCAGTTGAACTAAGCTTTGAAATGTTCAGTCTGTCGTTCAAGACGATATTTAATCGGATTCCTTAATTAGCTCGCCTACCAATAGCCACGGCTAGAATGGATCTGGATGAAACCATCATTAGATCACCTTACCTGTCAGCAATGCCTGTTTTCACAGTATGGGAGCACAGTGTTGATTTGAACCAATAAACGATAGTGATTTTTCGCCTTACGTTAAAAGGACTATATTTTTTGTCTCGTTGATTTAAAACTACATAAACATTTGATGGGTTTGTCTTTCACCTTCAGATCTATGAAAGCCAAAACGGCACGGGCAATGCGAGAGATGTGGTCTACGATCACGATCTGGGCTTGGCTATCGAACGATTGCCTGACGGATGCAAAATCAGCGATTTATGGAACTTACTCAACCAAGTATCTGAGGACTGAGTCACTCAATTCAACTGCCGTCGGGTCTGTACTAAAAGCTCAGAGGAAATGTATATGCCAGTATAAATATACAAAAATGTTTTGATCTTTTATTCACAATTTGATGATGAAAATTTCATCGGGTCAACCGCCGTGCAACGAAGAGATGAAAGATATCCGATCGTTCTCCTGAAGGATGTAATCGTTCTCACCGAGTAATGAATAATCTGTGTCGTTGATCAAAACCAGTATCCCAGGCCGTATAGATTTGCCTTGCAGGAAAAGTTCCGGTCTTTCTTCTAGTAAATTTTCCTTGAGCCATGCAAGTAGATCTTGGAGATTGATTATCGATGCTGGCAACTCCAATGTATGCTCTTTAACCTTTCCAAACAAAATTTCCGCACCCCCGCTGAATTCCACACATATCTTCATTGTCCAAATGGTACGTAACGATCGCGATGTTCAGTAATCACGCTAAAATCAACGAAATAACAGGTAAATATTGGTGTGACTGAAATACAGATAGAGTTATTCTCATGGAAAACAACGCCCTATTTAATCTTCTTAGGATTACACCCCTTGTACTCGAAGCAGGTTGAAGAGTAACGAGAAAGTTCTGTGAGGACCGAGAGAAACTCGCCGTATAATTATTCAGAAAGGGTAAAAGTGAAGTAAAATAAACCTGTGGTTGATAAAAAAACGTGCATTTCAGTAGTCTTGACATGAATATCTACTTTAAAAGTCAAACGCAGAAGGATAACTACTTGTGTCAACAGCCAATCAACTTCTGGTAGTTGTTGATCGCCACTTTTCTTAACACACCGTCGTGTGATTAACAGCAGAATAGGTAAACCCAATGGCCACGAAAATCACCTAAGGGTACTGGTAACCTAAACCCCGGGACCGAACCACATGAAGCCCCATTAACATGGGCGTGCTGTTGATCCGGGCGACAGTGGAACTGACCATCAAAGAAGTTGGGAAAGAATCTCCGACCGTAGGACCCAAAGCACGCCAATGACAGCAATTTGAATCGCTTGAACTCCCACCGTCCTCAATACTACAGCGATAACTGCAAGCAGATTTCTTGCATCCAGAGTTCATATAAGGCTTGATGTGGATCAATCCAACCGAGTACTTTCACTAAGCATTTTCGTGTACGAATATCGCATCAAAAGCCACTGTCAGCAATTCCTTTTACCAGTCTTCCTTATCTGAAACATGCTCGTGGAACCACGTGAGTTCCGGCAATCCTAGCCCAACTGTTCGGAGGGGTTAGGTGAACTGAGCCCCAAGAGAGAGAGCATAGTTGACAAAGAGGTGAGCGATGGCCTAATTGGTTATCACCGCATCCGTTCGAAGTCGACGGGTGACTAAGCCTTGAGCATTCGTATACCGATGGGTCGCAGCTCGCTGTTTCGACATAGACCGAAATCAAGCAACATTAACTACAACGCCTCAAACGAGCATCGGGATTACTCGTCTTTAGTGGCCACTGTGGAATAAGCAATAGAAGAGCCGAGTCTTACAGGTAAAGAAAATCTAACACCATTGAAGGATTGAATGAAACTATGAAATACATATGATCACTAAACATGACAGTTTGGTTTTCGTTGAGAAAACCGTGAAATCAGCACGCATTACGGTTTTGTTCCACATACGGTGAGAGACCTCAGAACTTCAAGCATTCCGGGGAATGGAAGACAAACAGGAACCTTCTAGCCGTTTATATGACGAATCTCCAGTCTCTAGTCACGGTACAAGCAATGAAATTGGTCTATTTATTCGTGTGCAATGCTTTTGGGTTGTTCAGGCTGAAATAAGAGATTTTCTTCAGGTTTTACAATCAATCTTCAGTGAACCGAAGACTGACTAGAAAGATAATTGAGTAACCATGGAGACAGCACTTCACTGGCAGATCGGATGTTTCACACCTTCAGGACATTATTCATACCATCTTGATGCTCAATACACTACCGCCAAATCGGACTGATAATCTCTATGATCAAGGTATCCTGGATTCAGTTCGCGCAACCATCTTTGACATTCAGAATTGGGGGTTTTCTAACGCCTAAAAGAGGGCACTGGGTGGTTCACCTATCGAGTTACTGCTTTTTCGTCCTAACTAGCAAGCATACTCACCACTACGATTTGTTCTTCAAGTTCTGGGACTAAAAACCTGAAAACTTGTTGCTCCAGCAGTTGACAGAGCATATTACCTCGGCCAACTATTGCCCTTCAGAAGAATTGTGGTATGTGCATTCAGATAGCACATCGGACTCAGTGAATGCACAGAAGGAAACGATATCACTAGCCTCACACTGCTGCACAACGGTTTTGATCGATATATTTTGGATCCTCATCTGGTCCACTGATGTATAAGATCCACTGCTTACGACACCGCGTTTAACTACTAAATAGATCGGTCTTGAGGTCTTCAACCAGGAAGCTTATTAACTTATGTGATGAAAAAGCCTGGTCCGAATTTTCAGCTCCTCGATGTAGGTCTCGGTCTGATCACCCGCCAGGTTATAGTTGACACAACCACCAACCTCGCACTTACATGCGCCGGTTTTATTAATTTCTATGGAGATCCATCTACTTGCAAAATGATGACGACCCTTAGCATGGTTACACTCAGAGTGACTCAGCGAACACTGCATAGTGAACCTCATCTGGTGACATGTGACCAGGATTGCACCAAATTCTTTGCTTGACCTACACCTTGCTCGTCCGGTCCCGTGCAATCCAGAATCGTACAATGCGGCAGAAACCGCGCTTCACGAACTGTCTACTGCTTTCTAT